GCATGACTACATGGGGTAGTATTCACAACTAGAAGTCTCTTTCTGAGTAGCCCCTCACCTCAAAGAAAAACAGAATATTCAAAAGAGAGCCTGGAATTGGGCAGGTAGAAGACAATTGTTTTTTTTCTTCAAGCTCCTTGACCAACGGAAGAATCTGTATTGATCTGATAAATTGGTTAATATGCTCAAAACAACACTATTTGGGGGGCTGATGTGAATGATCTGTCTTTCGCAGTCCCTGGTCACCTTCAAAGAAATGCACCAACTGGTGCTGAGAAAGACTTGAGGGTTCAGATCATCTTTACTCTCAGCTGCTGACTTCTGTGTCCTTTGTCACGGAGAAAGTAAAGGCAATCAGAAAATGTCTTCAACTTTCTCCATCACGTGTATCCCTTACTGGCATCTCTACCAAATATGCTCCACTCTTCCTTCTCTTCTTGATGAGATGCTCTTGCTCCTGTCTGAGCTTAGCTACTCTTTCTCTGAACTAGGGTAGGGTCAACACACTTTTTAAATAAAGGACCGGATAGTGAATATTTTAGGCTTTGTGGTCCATATGGTCTATGCCATAACTACTCATCTCTGTCTAGAGAAGGTAGCCATAGACACTATGTGAAAATGGACATTGCTGTGTTCCAATAAAAGTATAAAAACAGTGGTGGACCAGACGTAGCCCCTAGGCTGTAGTTTACTGAGCTCCGCATGAGATCCTACTGCATCTCCTACTCAAGGACTTGCTCTAGCAATTCTTCTTTCCTACATCAGCACATTGTTTTCCCTCTATGGGACCATTCCTATTAGCATACATGTATGTTGTTGCTTCTCACATCTTAAAAACCATTTCTGGACCTTGCTTCCTATTTGTCTGCTGTCTTTCACATCAAAACTTCTAAAAAAGAGCAATCTTTTTTTTTTTTTAAAGATTTTATTTATTTATCTGACAGAGAGAGACAGTGAGAGAGGGAACACAAGTAGGGGGAGCGGGAGAGGGAGAAGCAGGCTTCCCACTGAGCAGGGAGCCTGATGCAGGGCTCGATCCCAGGACCCTGGGATCATGACCTGGGCTGAAGGCAGACACATAACGACTGAGCCACTCAGGCGCCCCAAAAAGAGCAAACTTTTCGGCTTTTTTTCTCCCTTGTCAATATTCCCCAGAGCCCATTCCAATAGGCTTTGACTTCACCACTCCACTGAAGTTACTCTAATCAAAGTCACTAATGACCTCTATGTCATTAAATGCAATGGTCCGCTCTTGGTCTTCATCTTGGGCAGCATTTGACCCTATTGTTGATCACTTTATTCTCCCTGAAATATTTTCTTCACCTGGCTTCCAATGACACATACTACCTCACTGCCTCCTCACTGGCCTCCTTTTCTGATTCTTTCTTATCTCAATCTCTTCATGTTGGAGTAGTGATGACTCAGGTCTTGGACATCTTCTCTATCTATAGTTATTTCCTGGCTGATCTCATCCAGTCTCATTAAATATTATGTATAACCTGATGACTTCCAAATTAATGTATTATATTTGGCACTCAACTCCAGGCTCGTATATCCAACTCAACATATCCACTTGAGTGTCTAATAATGATTTCAATCTGAACATAAAAAACTGAACCCTTACTATATACCCCCAAATGTGTTACACTTTAGATTTTCCCTAAGATGTAAGTGGTATTTCTCTTGGGCCAAAACTCTAATATCATCCTTGATTCTTCTCTTTTTCTTGCATGCAACATACAATTCATAGGCCTCTGCTCTCAATTCTTCTTTCAAATATGTATATATATAGACTCCTTTTCATTTCCTCTGCAGCCCAATGTTGGTCCAAGTCACTAACAACTCACTTCAAATATTTTAGTAGTTTCACTGGTCTCCCTGCTTCCATTATTGCCTCTCCCCAGGCGGTCTATTATTGACTAAAGGGTTAAGTCAGGTTGCGTCCATCCTCTGCTCAAAACCCTCAATGGCTTCCATCTTCCTCACAATAAAAGTCAAAGTCCTTAAGAAGCCCATATCACAACACAAGGAATCAACTTCTGCTGCCTTGGCTAGTTTCCTTTGCTGATACCTTCGCACAAGTCATGTAGCCGGGAGTGGAGAACTATTGGAAGTTAATGGTAGAAGAGTAAAAGGAAGGGTGGTGATATTCACCTCCTCCCCATGGCCCCCAAGAGAGGTCAGGCATCCCATGGAGGGGAACAGAAGTCCAGGAGTTCCAGGGGGTAATAAACGTGTATGTGTCCATTGGTCCCTAGGGGAGCAGAGGATGCAGGAAGAAGTATGCGACTCAGAGGGCAAAGGTGACATCATCTATTTCCCTGGCACATTAAAAGGAGTGCCCCTCCAGGGAGCAGGGAAAGCTAATACTTAGGGTATAGAGTGGTTGGAAAGTCAAGCTCCATAACAAAAATTATGACTGTTGTATAATCGCAAGAGATACCATATTTTTAGTCCAACTACAGAGAGAAAAATTGAAAGACAGTGTTCTCCCTTATCAATCTTTTAAGAGTCACTTGTCTTAAAGAATAAATAAAAAGTTCAAATTCAAGTGATTTATGTAAGAAAGAAAGCATGCAAATCTGGAATAATATATTTAGGAAAGTTCTAGTTCTGATTAATTTTTAAAATTGATCCAAGGGATTTCTCAGAAATCTATGATATTGCTGTAATTGAGCAAATTCCTTCAGATTTTTTCCCTTCTCTGCACACCCCCATCTCCCCCACTCATGCCCTCTCCTCCTGCTTTATGCTTCCACACAGATCTCCATCTAACCTCCAATATATTTCCTTCATAATTGTGATTTATCTGTTTATTTCTCCCAGAATGCTGGCTCTCAGCATTCTAGAATGTCGTATCCCTAACATTGGAATTGTGGTTGGCATAGAGAAGGCAACTGACAAATATGTGTTGAACGAATGAATGAGCCAGAATCCCTTCGTAAATAATTTCTTCTGGAGACATTCGAGTTTCAAAGCAGCTCAGGTTTCCGTCAGGCATTCTACATAATGAGAGAGGTTGTCTCCTTTGGTGTTGCCACTACACAAAGCATGATGTACATAATGGGCCCCAGAGATTAAATAAAAGGTGTGATGTTATGAGACAATACTGACAATTAGAAGGAGGGAAAGTAAGTTTTCAGAGTAAAGTGGTGTTTGCAAATCTTAACCTTCTGGCTGAGCAATTTCAGTGGGGAAAAAAAATACCCTACTGGGAAGGCAGGAAACGCAAAACATATTCTGTAGCTTCATTAATTATACCAGGAACATCAAGTTGCTGCTGAAAAAATGTCTACAGATGCAGTCCTGATGGGGAATATTACAGGGCTCAGAAATCAAAATCCCCAAAGAAAATTAGTGGGTAGGAGTGCACAGAGAGGAGGAAATTGAATATGTTTTAAACATAACTGCACAAAGGTTTAGTGCAGTATAAGATACGTAGATTGGCTTCTAATATAAAATCTATATTCACTCTTAGTAAAAGCCTCCCTGAAAGTCACTGTCATTTACTGAATGTTTCTGAGAGTTAATGAATCTCCTGAATTGGTTATTTTTTAAACTGAATATGGTTGTATTTGGGGAAAGATATTTTAAAAATATTTTTGCAAATCATTACTATTTATTTATCCATGTTCATTCATCCATCCATCCAACCATCCATCCATATACTGAGAAATGAAGTATATACAATTCACAGATTACTAACAGTACACCAGAATAAGAACTCTTGCTAGGCAAGTATTACGCTGTCACACTGAATGTTTCACAAAACTGAAGTCTATCCAAAGGTCAAAGTAAGTTATACTACAGAAGCAAATGAATGACTTGGTTCTTAAAGAGGGAAAATAGACTAGGTCTGTAACACAGTCTTGGAGAATAGTTTCTAAAGACCTCACGCTGTTAAAACTGGTTGGCATTTCATTTCATTCCTTTGGAAGAAGTAAAGTTGATGCCATGTAAATGTTGGAAATAAGCCTCTACCATAATCACTAAAGAATTAGAGGTCAGGTCATTACTTCTGGTGTAGCTCAAAGAAATGTCAGACCACTAAGGGTTAAAAATGTATAAATCATAATGATGACTGGCTTGACATGACCCCATAGTTGTGATCCTTGACACGAAAAGTTCTATAACGGCACAGATATGACATACAGACTTAAAAGTATTCTTTGATTCATATTCTTAATTCTTGAAGGGAAGGTATGAAGGGTAAGGATCATCATTAGTATCCTGTGAACTGTAAACATGAAAAAAAGAAAGCCCTTCTTTTGATATGTTCATTTCAGTGCTCTGACTTTCATGGCAATTGGACTATCCCAGAGAAAACATCAAAGTGGAGTCCAGGGTTCCCAGAAATTAATGGCTTCTTGTTTGATAAATCTTGCCTGTATTCTAGTTATTTCTGTATGTATCTGAAAGACCTGCTATGATAGTAAATTAGCAAGTCCTTAATGGAGAGGACCTGTCTAATTTACTATTCTAATCCATAACTGAATAAATGTTATTTATTGTCATTATTTGAAATTTTTGTTTTAAAATTGTTTTATTTCTGCTCATATTCATTGAGCAGCTACCATGTGCATGCTGGTGGGCTAGGGGCTACACAGGGTAAAAGAAGTTAAAAGGTGTTAAGGATATCTGCTCTCAAGGAGAGGATTGGAAAGGAGATGGGGTCAGAAGTGGTTTGGGATGAGGCTAAAAAAAAAAATGTGTGAGGACAAGGTGTTGAAGTGAAATAAAACATGGTTTCACTTATATTTTCTTCCGCAAAGAAATGACATCAAATGCCTTATTCCTAATGAAAAATCTTCATAATTCTTAGTAGATGCCATTATTTGGAAGCGTTTGAATTACACTTCTACTTGGCAGCTGAATTATTTTCAGATGTAATTTCAACACATGTTAAATATGACAAAAACTCAATCTTTTGCAGGCATCGGTACAACGTCATAAGGATTCAGAGTGAGGTGACAAACGTCAGAAGTTTCTATCCACTGTACCTTGGCCACTTCTTCTTGGAAAGCCACGAGATTCAAATGGGAGATGTTAACCAAGTCAGGCCCATATACCACTGTTATCATGCGATGCTCCAGGCGCCCGATGTTCCCCACATCCAAAAGTTCACGTAATTTGGGGTCCTGGATAATAAACATTGAAAAAAGTTAGTCTATACCTAGAAATTCCAACATGGTAGCATAGTTTTAAAAGCATTAGACCTAGAAAGACTTCAGAACAAAATTGCCTTTTATTCTTACTAAAAAAACAGTATGATTGAAGTTCCAAACTCCATCATGGCCCAGAGAGGTAAAGTAACTTGCTGAAAGGTTATGGAGAGAGAATTTCTTACTCAAGTCTTATGGTCCTTATGGAATTACATGAAGTGAAATGAGTGAGACAGAGAAATACAAATGCTGCATGTAGAATTTTTAAAAAAAGGTGAACTCAGAGAAACAAGAGAGTGGAGAGATGGATACCAGGGGCAGGGGGTGTGGGGAAAATGAGGAGATTTTGTCCAAAGAGTACAAACTTCCAGATACAAGATGAATAAGTTCTAAGGACCTAATATACTGCATGAGGATTAAAGTTAATAATATTGTATTATATACTGGAAAGATGCTAATAGTGTAGATCTTAAATGTTCTCACTACAAGAAAGAAATGGTTATTATGTGATGTGATGGAGGTGTTGGCTAATGCTGTGGTGGTAATCATCTTGCAATATATGCATGCATCAAATCATCACATTGTACATCTTAAACTTACACAATATCATATGGTAATTATACCTCAATAAACCTAGAAAAAAATAAGAATTATGGTCCTCAGTCAATAGCTCTTTCTGTCATACGTCCTTTAGTAGCATATTTTTATGTGCCATAATTCTCCCTCTTTTTCCTCCAATCATCCCATGAATCACATAGTGAAATACAAAATCTCATCTCTCTCCTCAATTCATGACACATTAAGATGAAGAAGGTGATTCTTGTAGAATCAAAACATGATAATGATATCTAGGGCTGAGGCAGAAACATGGCTAAGAGTCACAGTTTGGACCTTCTCCAACACGGAGTTACGTTGTAAAGAAATAGGCTGTTAGACTGGGCAGCACCTGTCATGAATATGTTCATTTCAATTCCATCCTCAGAACATACTGGGATTTGGACAGAGAGAACTTCTGCAGTCTTCAGAGCAAGTTCCATTCTTTGGGATACCGTAAGTGAAGATCCCTTGGAGATCTAGTCCTGCTAGATTTGGGAGGTTTCCGAACCTCCCAAATTGAAAGTAAGACTTAAACTAGGACTCATTCTCCTTGGCTGAATTCATTTTCCTCTCATAGGAAATAAGAGGTCCATGCAGAAAATTAACATCAAATCAATCACTTATCCAATCTGCAGCCAGCTTCTGAGCAAGGAATAAATTTGTATTCTTATTTATTTAGCTAAATGCTGGGCCAATGGGGCTTGGTTATTCTGATCTCCTTTCTGAGGCTTTTATTCACAGCATCCTTACAAAGAAAAAGTGGACTTAAAAAAACAAGAAAGAAAATAAACAAAACCTTCCCAGCTAAATTCTTTTATTCAGTGCCATTAACTCTTAGTTAATAAAACTTTCTCCTGTTTGGCTGTGTTAAGAGGAACATTTTCAGGTAAGTTATGAAGAGAGAAAAATCCATCTCAAAGATGTGCCCAATATAACTAAAACTTGAACTCCACTAACAAGTTGGGAACTTATCAAGTACATCAGGCCTCCTAGAAAGATCAAATGTTATCACAAGAACATCAGTTTGCATGGCCTAGATAAGGAGAGGAATAGAGGAAAAATTTTATTAAGTAAACAATAACAAAAAAGGGAAATTTTTAGCATTCTAGCATTAATGAAAGATTAAAAGAAAAGGTTCAGGAAGAATGGACTTTCTGTGAAGGCTAATAAAGAATGATTCTAGCTGTTCTGTGATATGTTTAATTGCATCCTGATTTTTAAAAAGTTTTATTTATTTTTGAATTCAAGTATAATTAACATAGTGTTATGTTAGTTTCATGTGTACAATACAATGATGAAACAATTCTGTACATTTCTTAGTGCTCATCACTATAATTGTACTTAATCCCCTTAACTTATTTCACTCATCCCCCCACCAACCTCCCTGCTGGCTACTACCAGCTTGTTCTCTGGATTTAAGAGTCTGTTTTTTTGTCACTTTTTTTTTTCTTTGTTGGTTTGCATCACTGTTTTTGAACATGTTTGAAGCAAGATTAGAAAAGAAAATGATCAATACTTTTAATATTGTTTTTTGTATACTTGGAAGAGAAAGGTAATTCTCAGAAACCATCTGAAACTTATAAATCACAAGTTTTGAATCAATGATTACAGAGTCTATCTGCAATATTGTGATTTATAAGAAAAATAAATTTGGTCATTCAGATGACCAAAATATATTTTTTCATATGTATTTGGTCTTCATCTGAAGTTCCTGGCTCACAGTCCCTAAAACCAGAACATTTTCTGTTCAGTCTGTATTACTTTACTAATTCTCATGTCTTTTAAAACCACTTTTGTGCAAATGGCAAGATCTCATTCCTTTTGATGGCTGCATAATATTCCATTGTATATATATATACCACATCTTCTTTATCCATTCATCTGTTGATGGACATCTTGGCTCTTTCCATAGTTTGGCTATTGTGGACATTGCTGAAGTGGTGGGGGGTGGGAGGGATGGGGTGGTTGGGTGATAGACACTGGGGAGGGTATGTGCTATGGTGAGCACTGTGAATTGTGCAAGACTGTTGAATCACAGATCTGTACCTCTGAAACACATAATACAATATATGTTTAAAAAAAAAAAAGATAGCAGGAGGGGAAGAATGAAGGGGGGGAAATCGGAGGGGGAGAGAACCATGAGAGACGATGGACTCTGAAAAACAAACTGAGGGTTCTAGAGGGGAGGGAGTGGGAGGATGGGTTAGCCTGGTGATGGGTATTAAAGAGGGCACGTTCTGCATGGAGCACTGGGTGTTATGCACAAACAATGAATCATGGAACACTACGTCAAAAACTAATAATGTAATGTATGGTGATCAACATAACAATTAAAAAACCACTTTTTGCACTTATTATATAGTGATTGATTAAAGAGTACCATCTCTCAGAACTGTATGGACTAGGTGTGGGGGTCAAGGGGTTCACTTGAGTTGTCCTTAAGCTATAGGAATGCAAGGCAAGTAGACAGCACTTAGAGAAGGTGCCAGAATAGAAAATAATTCTGGGGGTGCTTGGGTGGCTCAGTTGGTTAAGTGTCTGTCTTCGGCTCAGGTCATGATCTCAGGGTCCTGGGATCGAGTCCCTCATCGGGCTCCCTGCTCAGCGGGGAGTCTGACTCTCCCTCTGCCTCTTGCTCATGCTCTCTCTCTCCATCTCTCTCAAATAAATAAATAAATAAATATTAAAAAAAGAAAATAATTCTGGAAAAAGACAATATTGTTAGGTATGGTCAACAGGAATTTATAAGATGATCAATTCTTTGTGGCATCTCTGTAAAAATTTTCCCACTAGTGGCTGTTTATATATAATTTTAAAAACAATGGATTTTTATGTAATTAGAAGTATGGAATGCAGTATCTGGAGGTAATGTCTGGGATTGGGAGGATAAGGCAGACTAGCAAAATGATGGTGCTGATGATTGAATCTGAGTAGCAGGTATCTGAGAAACCATTCTATAAGTCTCTCTTTATCTGAGACGGTTGTACAATAAATAATAACAAAGAGTATTGAGCATGAACTGCAGGCACAGTAAGATTTGAGAAATAGTCTTTCAATAGTAACCACAATATTTTAAAATTATGTAATTCTGGAAGTAAATAGAGAAATTGCTTAAAGTATATAATAAACAAGTTCCTTACTAATGTCCTTTTTTAGTGATTGATCATACCAGTTTATTTTTTAAAGATTTGATTTATTTGACAGAGAGAGAGAGCATAGGCAGGGGGAGTGGCAGGCAGAGGGAGAGGGAGAAGCAGGCTTCCCGCTGGGCAGGGAGCCCGATGCGGGACTCAATCCCAAGACTCCAGGATCATGATCTGAGCCAAAGGCAGAAGCTCAACCGTCTGAGCCACCCAGGCGCCCCGATCATACCAATTTTTAAACTATATTTTACTGTCTTTCTTACCATTAATCATTTTGTTTGTTTTTACAACTACATCTTTTCTTTATATTTTATTTTTTAATCAACATCAAGCTTGGGTTATGTTAGCGTTCTCTCCCTTAAGAAATTACTTTTCTTTTTACCTATACTCTGAGTTTTCTCATTTTGAACTCAATATCCCAAGGTAACAGGGTGGCTTCAAACCTTTGTCTCATTATTGAGCATGTTGACATACGAAGGGTATAGTGAAAAAGATATTTGTCCTTTCAAGTATCAAAAGTTGCCCGCAGTTGTTTTCAGCAGAGGAGACCCTCAGAGAATAAGCAAAGAGGGAATTATCTGGAAGGATAAACAGCAAAGGCACCAAAGTGTTTGGAGGACCTTATAGGTAGAAGGAATTTAATGGAAACGTCTAAAAAAATGGTTGTTTCTGGGGTACATCAGTCTCAGGTCTGGAGATATGAGTGGCTGCATTTCAAAAAGAAATGAATAAAATTAAAATAGTAACAATAACAAAAGCCTACAGACAATTTGCATGAAAACCACCCTCTCCTAAAAACTTATCCTACTAAGGATTTTATGTCTGAGATTCTTTTTCTTTCTTTCTTTCTTTCTTTCTTTCTTTCTTTCTTTCTTTCTTTCTTTCTTTCTTTCTTTCTTTCTTTCTTCTTTCTTTTTTCTTTCTTTCTTCCTTCCTTCCTTCCTTCCTTCCTTCCTTCCTTCCTTCCTTCCTTCGAGAGAAAAGGAGGGGGAGAGAGAGCAAGCACACACATATATGCATGAGTGGGGGAGGGGCAGAGGGTGAGAGAGAATCCTAAGCAGGGCTCAGTCTCAGGCCCTGAGATCATGACCTGAGCCGAAATCAAGGGTCAGATGCTCATCTGACTGAGCCACCCAGGCATCCCTGTCTGAGATTTTCTTATTGATTGAAACTCCTGACCAGTTTTCAGAGAAGTATTTACCTACTCAGGTTACTACCAGACTCAAACACATTTCT